CTAAAATGTGAAAAACTATGAGGCTTGAAGCTGGCACGATACCGTCATTCAAAAGTGGTATGAAGGACAAGATAAGAACTGGGAGCAGAATAATGGATGGGTTCAATGGGGGTCAAGAGGAGCTCTCACAGATGGTGAGATCTAATCCAAGACCTCAAGGGTGAAGAAGAGCCAGCCACCTGAGAGCAAAAGGAACAGTGTTCTAGGCAGAGGGAACAGCTTACACAAAGGTCCTGAGGTAGGAACCACCATGGCTGCTGGAAGAGACGAATGTATGTACGGGGCCCCATCTCTGTACTCAAACTTTTATTGCCAAAGGTCAAGATCTTGAGGCAGGCACTGGCTGGGAGCTCTAAGAGGGCAGGGGGATTATTCCTGAATGGTGAGAAAGTGAGGCTTGAAGCAGTCACTTGCTCACTTGGTCAATGTCTGAGCCAGGACTGGTGATCTGGTCTGAATGCTGGTGATGAGCCACTCTCTGTGGACTCCAAGCATCTGATTTGTCTGCCACAGCTGGTGTGGGGACCACGCGGGGGCACTCACCTCATGTTGAAGGGAATGATCAACCCCACCATGTACTGCCTGCTGGTCTTTGGGGAGCCTGAGCTTGGGATCTTTGATGGGTCAAAGTAGGGCGGATAGTATTTCTGTGGGGAAGAAGAAAATGTCAGGGAGCTGCTTTCAGATGCGAGGGTAGGCCAGGGGCAGAGGGAAGGGGCTCTGGGAGCTGTGTCAGTGTCCCCAAGACCACCTCTGGGTTCAGTGATTTGGTAGGAGGACTCCTGGGGCTCAGCATACAGTCATACTCATGGCTACTATCTATACAGCAAAAAGTTACAGAGAAAAATCAGGAAAGGGAAAAGGCGTGTGGGACAGGTCCAGGAAGAACAGGCACAAGCTTCCAGAGTCTTCTCCCCATGGAGTCACACAGGATGTGCTCAATTTCCCCAGCAATGAATTGTCACAACAGGTGTGAAAAGTCTCCTGGAGAAGCTCACGGAGACTCAGCACCCAGAGTTCTCAATGCAGGCTGGTCATGCAGGCACCTCTGCCCAACATGGAACAAGATTCCAGATTCCAGGGAGAGAGCAGGTGCTCAGCATAAACCACACTGTTTGTACAAACAGTTTAAGCCCAGGAAACAATTTTTTAAAATATGTTTTTATTGATTTTAGAGAGTGGAAGGGAGAGGGAGAGAGGGAGAGAGATAGATATCAATGACGAGTCTTTGATCGGCTGCCTCCTGGATGTCCCCTACTGGGGATCGAGCCCGCAACCAGGGCATTGAGCCCAAAACCCTGGCATGTGCCCTGACAAGGAATCAAACTGTGACCTCCTGGTTCATGGGTGAACACTCAACCACTGAGCCACGCCAGCTGGGCCAGGGAACCATTCTTATCAGGGGACAATGGAAACCATCCTGAAATTCAAGTTTCCAGATGCCAGTGTCCAACCTTGTAAGCCGGCCTTTCTAAGGACAGCAGCCACAGACCTGCTGTATTAAAACAGGAACCTGAAATGGGAGATATAGGGAAGGTGGGTTTGGATTATGAAAAATAATCCATCAGATTGTCAGAAAATAAAGCACTTTGTGTTTTGAGCACCTACTGGGGGCCAGGCACCACATAGAGCACTTTCTACTGCTTTCGAAGTCTCTATAAGAAAGAGTGATGCACCCATTTCACAGAGGAGGAAACTGAGTCCTGGCAGTTTCAACTACTGAGAGTCACACAGCACGAGCAGCAGCGCCAGGATTCAGATCTGGGGACACGACTCTGGGGGAAACAGTGCGTACAGTGATTAGGAGTATAGGTTACAGAGCCAGGAGCCTGCGTTTGACTCTTTCACTCCCTTGCTATAACATATCCTCTCTGGGCCTCAGTTTCCTCATCTGAATGGATATAACCCGTCCACTTGCAAGGATTTGATCAGCATGGCACTTAGTGCAGTGCCTGGCACACAGGAGTATCTACCAGTAAATGATGGAAATAGATGGCTCCCAGCTGGATGCTCAGGGCGGAAGGACTTTCAAGCACAGGAAGTCTTGCACACTGCACTGGAATGTGAAAAGGCGGGGCTGGATTCCTAACATAGGTGTTTAAAAGATGAGGGCACTGAGTCACAGGAAAGAACATCAACTCGACCTCAAACCGCTGGCTCATGGCTGTCTATCCTGACATCTTGAACTTACACACTCCCAGGCCTGGGGGCTCATTTTCTTTCTGGGAGCGCAGTCTCCTGTGGGATGAGGACACTCAGAGTTCCAGAGCGCTCTCTGCCAAACGCCACACCCTGCCCTCCAAGACCCTCTCCACCCAAGAGCAGTGGTTTTGCCCCAGCAGAGCTGGGAAGAGAAACTGAGGGGCCCTAGCGGGCAGAGAAGAGTTTATGCAGCACCTTCTAAAACGCGATTGGCTAGAGAACCCAGGATGGGCGGGGCTTAGCAGAGTCCCCGCCTCGAAGGTGAAAGGTGTAGAGAGGAACCGATATTTTAAAGACAGCCCCACCCCCAAGGGAAGTGATTGGATAATTTCCTTCGGAAAACCCAATCGGGGAAGTGATTGGGTAAATAGCCCACGCTCCCAACATGTATGTCCCAATCCCGGGGAAGGTTTAGCGAAGGCCCACCTCTCGCTGAAGGTGACTGGGCGGCCGTTATGTTAGAAGAAAAGAAGTTCCAACAGGAGGATCCCCTCGGCCGGAGGTCTGAAATATGCCGCGCTGGGTGTAAAGCCGTAGGCGACCAACACTTTTAAAACTTTTCGCTCAGACAGCTTTGCGTGCTACTCTCCTCACAAGTACGAGAGAACGGGTTAGGGTCGGTGTGTACTGAGCTCCCCGGCCGGCAGTCCCTTGTACTTCCGGGACTGTGACTTCCTCCAGCTCCCAGTATTGGCTGCCTCATGCACGGCTGGCTTTTGTCATTGGGTCTGATTCCCGCCTGTTAAAATCTTTCAGCCGGTTGTCTTCCCTCCGGAGTTGCGACCGCGGTACCCGCAGCAAAGGTTCCAGGGCCGCCTGGATCCGGAGGAGTGCCGAGGGGGTGTTGAAGGAGAGCACCCCTTCTTCTACCCTTACAACCGCCCCTTTAAGATAAACAAGAGCAACAAAATTTATTATGTAGAAGCAGTGACCTCCTCTCCTTTCCTGGCGCTGCGTAAAGGAGTGCAGCCCACAAAATTCCGGAGGATAGGTGACTGTAGGAAGTTAACGCTTATCTTAGCTTCTGTACGCTGCTTTGCTAGTTCCACCACCTGCCACCCCTTGACCGAATTGCTCCCCCTTAACCAAACAGAATGTAGTTTGTTTTTTCTGCCTTTATATGCTCCCCGCAGAGACTGTTCGGGGCTGCGAGTTTGTTTAGGGCACGAGCCTGCTCGGAAGCCACTGCAGGCGGCTAAATAAATCTCCAAACACTCAATTTGGTCTCTGTGTAAATTAGTCTTGCGTAACCTGGGATAACACTGTGGCTCTAGGGGTCAGCGGCGCCTGGTTAAAATTTCTTCGTGACACGATGTGGCTGTTGGTCACGATATTCTGTTATTCATTCTTTTATTCAGCAAATAAAAGGCTCGGTGTCGGGCGCTGACCCTGTGTGCTGGCCTCTGGAAACCCACACATCGTCGGTGTCCTTAGTGCTCACGTGAGGACTGGGAGCAGTTGCCACGGATTACACAGGTCGCGGGCAAAAGAGTACCCTGGATGTCCCACCCCAAGTTTACCTTGAGTCACAGGCAAAGACTCAAGCCCAGGCTGCAAACCCACCTTCCGCCTACACACACACACTAGCTTTCAGATGGCCCCCCATGCCCGGCTGCATTGTCCTTTTAAAAAGGAAGCCCACCCCATTCCTTCCCCAGTCTCCTCCAGTCCTTTTATAAATGTTTGTTCTGTGTCAGATAGGTAATCAGTCACTGGGGACACATCAGAGAACAAGACAGAAGATTCCTGGGCTCACAGGGATCGCTGTCTGTCTGGTGGGACAAATGGACAATAAACACACAAAAAGGACACTTTCGGGCTTGGTAAATGGTCTGAGGACAAAACAGGGTAACTATGGAAAGTGAAATGGCGTATGAGTTTCCTGTGGCTGCTGTGAAAAATTACAAGCTCAATATCTTACACACATCTATTATCTTAGCGTTCTGGAGGTCAGAAGGTCTAATGTGAGTGGCAGGGCTAGTTCCTTCTGGAGGCTCCAGAGGAGAATCCATTTTCGTGACTTTTCGGGCTTCTAGAGATGCCTGCAATACTTGGTTCATGGCCCGGCATCACTCTGGTCTCTGTTTCCCTGTCACATTGCCGCCTATCTCTCCCTCTGATCTCCTACCTCCCTCTTATAAGGATCCTTGTGAGTTTCTTGGGGCTCCTGGATAATGACCCTCCTTGATGCTCATTAACTTAATGAAAGATCATTAAACTTTAAATTAAGGAGTCTTCTCACAATTCTTAATTTAATCACACCTGGAAAGTCCCTTTTGCCATGTAAGGTACCATATTCACAGGTTCCAGGGGTTAGGATGTGGATATCTTTAGGGGGGTATTATTCTGTCCACCACAGAAAAGGTGGTCAGGGAAGGCTTCTTGGAGGAGGTGACCTTTGAGATGAGACCTAAATGAAATCCATGGATTCAGAAAATCCTTCCAGGCCTGGCTTCTTTGCCCCCCCTCAGAGAAATCTTCCCAAACTTATGTCCATCCACATTGGGGCTCACATCTGGGCAACTTTTGAGATGACCGGTGAACCAACCTGCTGAACTGAATGGATTCCACCGTCACATCCCAGGCAGAACCCCCTCTACACCCACCCCAACTCCTCCAGCCCCGCTCTCTTCCTCCGGTCCAGCCCTGACCCTATCCATGGAGTGGTGATTCACTGTATGTGTGTTCTGCTCTGTCCTGTCCTCTCAGACTCCTCTTTGGGTCTATTGAACACAGGGAGGAAGAGTCCTGATTCTTGTAACAATGGTCCTTGTCTAATTACACAAATAAATAATATGTCACATTCACAGTTTTGTAGTCAAAGGAGGGAGTACATCCCCATTTCACAGATTAGGAAATTAAGTGTCAGAGAAGCAAAGTCACTTGTCTAAGGTTGCCCAGCAACTCGGCAGCAGTGAGTGGGAGGGGGATGTCAAGGAATCGGCTCCTCTTCCGGGGTGCTGGGAAGCCCCTGCTACTTGCCCAGAGTCACTGAGGCAGTGGCAGGGACACTCCAGTCGCTTGACTCCCCGTAGTCAGTGAGGTCCTGAGCAGCCACCTGGATGCAATACCTGGCTTGGGGCCTCACAGCCCTGAGGGTGAAGGATGTGTCTTCAATGGGCCCCACCTGAGAGCAGAAAGAGGGTGGGTCAGTGGGGATGAGGAGGGTGGGAAGGGCCATTGTGCACAGATTTGTGTGACTGAGCCTTCATTCCTTATTCTCCATCCTAAACTACACACCCTCCACAGCCCCCTCCCAGTCTTTGGCCCTTCCTGGTCCTAACCTGGACTTCCGTGCGGGTCCCAGAGCCAACTTGTTCAGGAATCCTTTGTGGACCACACCAGTTTTAAGGGATGTCTCAGTGGTGAGAGCTCTCACTCCCCAGACTCTCCTCCCCACCAACCTCACTCCTCTTCCTGGCCCTGATCCAGAGCCTCTATCATTGGCCTCAGTGCCCCCCTCCCCCCTCCCCATTCCCACTGTATTAACCATGTTTTTTTGTATGTTCTTTAAAATTTTTATATCTTAGGATGTTTTGACACCTTAAACATCTTGCTGGCTGGGAACAGACTGCCCTTCTTGAGGTCAGCCAACTGTTAGAAATGGCAAAGGGTGGCCAGGAGCACACCTTTCATATACCAACCAACCAATCCTAAATCTGTACCCCTACCCCCATTTTCTCTAATTTCCCACACAAGCCAGCATTCCCCCTGCCCTAGATCACCCCAGGGCCAGCTGCCAGGCAACTCAAGATCACCCATGTAGCCCAGAGCTCGACAGAATTATTTACACTCACCAACCCCAAGCATTCACCCCGTCCTGTCTTTCCTTTCCCTTAGAAACCCCAGCAGAGGTTCTGGCCTTGGCTCTCCACTCCCTCCTGCTCCAGCCTCCTGCCATCCTGATGTTGCCTGTGTGGCCCTGCATGGTTTGGCGTGTCCCCTTCTCTCAGGAAATGTAATCAGTTCTTCATTCAATAGCCTTGACCTCTCCATGTCTCCACTCGGGCACCTCCATAGATTGAAATCCCATGGGCACAAATGAGACACCCACTCAACTCCACCTTTTCTGCCTTCTCTCCTGCTCGTCTTTTCTTCCTGGTCTCTGCTGCTCCACACTCTCCCTCCTTTACCTGGCCCTCACCTCCTTCCAACTCCCACCTCATTCTCAGAATGTGCCATTTCAGCCACCACACTCAGCTTCCCAACCCCAGGTCTGACTCTCCCTTTCCTGCTCTACCTGAGTTGTCCCATATCATAGGCTGATGTGGTGCTGCAAGTCTTAAATTTAGATTAATGGTTGCACAACTTTATGAACATACTCAAAGCCACTGGCTTGGACACTTTAAAATGGTGAGTTTTCTGGTATGTATGTGAGTTCTATCTCAATTTAAAAACTGCACTCCGGCCAGTGTGGTTGAGCCTTGACCCATGAACCAGGAGGTCATGGTTCAGTCAGGGCACATGCCTGGGTTGCAGGCTCGATCCCCGGTAGGAGGCGTGCAGGAGGCAGCCGATAGATGATTCTCTCTCTCATTGATGTTTTTGTTTTGTTTTTAAATATATTTTTATTGATTTCAGAGAAAGGAAGGGAGGAGAGGGAGAGAGAGAGAGAAACATCAATGATGAGAGAGGCATTGATCAGCTGCCTCCTGCACACTCTCCACTGGAAATCAAGCCTGTAACCCGGGTATGTGCCCTGACCGGGAATCAAACCCCGATCTCCTGGATCATAGGTCAATGCTCAGTCACTGAGCCACGCCAGCTGGGCCATCATTGATGTTTGTCTCTCTCTCCCTCTCCCTTCCTCTCTCTGAAATTAATTTAAAACAAACAAGCAAACAAACAAAAATGTACATTTTTTTAAAAAGGGAAAAAACTACAAAAAATTTTAAAAATTAAATTAATGAACACCAATACAATTTAAAAGCCGGTTCCTGGGCTATTCGCCACATTGGAATGGCTTGGCAGCTAACTGCAGCTCATGGCCACCGTCTTGAGAAGAGCGGATGGAGAAGATTCCCACCGTCACAGAAAGGTCTATGGGACAGGGTTGTAAAAAGCTAAACTCTGCAAAGACACAGCTTCTCATCCCAGGATCTAACACTGACCAGGACACCACTGACCTTGGATGCTCACAGGACACTGCCTTTATTTTTTATTTTTTAAGAAGTTAAAACAGCCCTAGTTGGTTGGCTCAGTTGGTTGGAACATCGTCCCATACACCAAAAGGTTCTGGGTTCGATCCCTGGTGAGGGATCCCTGGCGAGGGGTGTGCAGGAGGCAGCTATTCAATGTTTCTCTCTCACATTAATGTTTCTCCCTCTCCGTTGCTCTCTCTCTAAAAATCAATAAAATCTTTTTTTAAAAAGAGTTAAACAATATATATTGTTTTCAATCAAGGTGAAATTCACATGGTATGAAATTAACCATTCCAAAGTGGACAATTCTGTATCATTTAGCACATTCCCAATGTTGTGCAACCGGCACCTCTAATTCTAGAAAATTCCATCACTCCCCAAAATACCCCATCAGCAGTCATTCCCCATCATCCCTCCGGCCCCTGACAACCATGAATTGACTTTCCATTTCTGGATCTGCCTGTTCTGGACATTTCATGTAAATGGAATCACACACTGGCCTTTTGTGTCTGGCTTCTCTCACTGAGCATCGTGTTTGTAAGGTTCATCCACACCACAGTGAGTGTCATTGCTTTCATGGCTGAGGAAGATTCCAGTGTGTGGATGGGCCCTGATTTGTATAGCCATTCACCCACTAATGGACGTTTGGGCTGTTTCCACCTTTCAGCTGTTGTGAATGGCACTACTATGAGCATCTAGTATAAGAATTTGTTTGAGTCCTTGTTTTTAATTCTTTGGGGCAGATACCCAGGAGTGGAGTTGCTGGGCTGCCTTTGTTTTGCACACTCGCCACAAGCAACCTCAAGCTACACGGGAGGCCGCAGCGCACCTTGGCAGCGCTGTTCCCTCTACCTGGAATCACCCTCCCCGGTCGCCACTCATGTGCCTCACCTGGCGGAAGCGGGCAGCTCCGTGACGCTTGTAGCGAATCCAGTACTTGAGTGAGAAGACCTCTGGGAAGGGCCAGGAGCTGGGAGGTTCCCACTGCACCCGCAGCCGCTGCCCATGGAGGGGGCTCAGGCGCACGCCTTCTGGAGGGTCCGGTTTGACTGATACACAAATAGGAGACACGGTCAGCAGAGGGCAGTTCCATCCATTCATTCGCTCACTGATGCAAACAACCAACAAATATTAATTGAGGGTCTACTGAGTGTCCGGTGATGTTCTGGACACCGGGGGACACAGCAGTAACCCATATAGACCCAACTCCTGTCCTTTTGAAGCTCAACCCACAGGACAGAATCCAGAGACAAGAAGCAAATCTACTGGTCATAAAGAGTAGGGAAGAAAGTTCAGGAGCGCAAGGAAGGGAGTGGTTTGCAAAGTTTTTTTGAGACATAATTCACATACCACAAAACTCGCCCTTTCAAAGTGTACAGTTCAGTGGCTTTTAGTACATTCACAATGTTGTGTGACCACCACCACTATTTAATCAAAACATTTTTATCACCCCAAAAAGAAATCCCACATCCACTAGCAATCACACACACACACACACACACACACTCCTGGCAGGGAAGAGATGGGGCAGGTCACGCAGGGCCCTGTGGGTCGTGGGGAAGACTTGGGTTTTTACCCTAAGGGAGGCGGGAACTAGAGGTCTGTGGGCAACGGAGGGGCAGGATCTGACTAGGGTGCTCACAGGTGCCATGTGGTGGCTGCTTAGGGAAGAGGGTGGAACTGGGGAAACCAGGGTGAGAGGACTGTGAACCAGGCCAGTGATAATGAGGCTGGATCAGGTGGAGGCTCGGGAGGGGAGAGAAGTGGGTGGATTCTTGATTTACTGAAGGTGGAACCCACAGAATCCAAGATAGAGGACAGGCCTGGGTGACGAGAAGGTGGGGGTGCTTAGAGAGAGAGGGAAAGAGCAAGAACAAGCCAGTGGCCTTCTACACCCCCCAACCATGGCCCCCACTCACTGATGTGCTCTGGGACAAAGGGCACGAAGCTGCTGCTGCTTCCCCAGGGGTGGACAGCTGTGAGGTTCAGCATGTAGGGTACCATGGAGAACATTTGGACGTCTGGGATGGTGCAGCTGGTGGCTTCTGGTGTTGGCTGGAGGCAGGGCTGGCTCTCCCCATGGGCGGCCACTCCAAGTCTGGACACAGGGTAGGCACTATGAGGGCCTCAGCACTTCCTGATGGCTGTGCCTTGGACCCCAAGTGGGGACAGCAGATGAGGAGCCCTGGTTCAGGGTCCTGCTCTTGTCTGTGTGACCCAGGAGGGGGCACTCACTTGACAACACAGAGCCCACAGTGACCCAGCGTTGGGGGTGAAAAGCACAGGAGATGCTCAGGTCACAGATTCTAAAGGTTTCTGGAATGTCAAAATTCCAGCCTCAGAATTCCAACATTCTGAGGTCTACAGATTCACAGACTCTGGAATCCGAAGTAACAAGATTCTGATTCTCTCCATTTCTGAGACAGACTTTAGAGACTTGAGCTCAGTGCCACCCATAGAACTTTCAAAGTGTCCTGTTCCTACCTTGTCCGATGTAGCAGTCATTAGCCACCTGTGGCTACCAAGCACTAAAAACACGGCTAGTACGACTGAGTGAGACTTTTAAGTTTTATTTATCTAATCTAAGTGTAATGTTATCAGCCCAGCTGGCATGGCTCAGTGGTTGAGCGTTGACCCATGAACCAAGAGGTCCCCGGTTTGATTCCCAGTCAGGGCACATGCCCAGGTTGTGTAGTAGGGAGTGCAAGAGGCAGCTGATTGATGATTCCCTCTCATCATTGATGTTTCTTTCTATCTCTCTCCCTTCCTCTCTCTCTAAAATCAATAAAGACATATTAAAAATAAATAAATGTAATGTTTCCAGTTATTAGAAAACTCTGAAAAGTTGTTCAGAACAAGTTGGGTGTGTGAATTTACTGCTCTAACTGCAAATTTTATGAAATCCAATCAGAGATAAAGAATTTCTAATGAAAGTTTAGTATCTGAATTGAAATGCACTATATGCAAAAAAATACACATGGAATTCTGAAGACTTAGTATTAAAAGAAAGAATGTAAAATATCTCACTAATAAGATAATGATTACATGCTGAAATATTTTAATTACTCTTATTGAATATTCATTTATATTCTAAATTTATAAACACTGTATATAAGCATGTTCAATTACATTATGCTCAATCACATTAAATGATAAATATTTGGAATATATAGATATTACTTAAATAAAATATTAAAATTAATTTCACCCACTTCTTACTTTTTAAATGTGGCCTCTAGAAAATTTTAAACTACACATGTGGCTTGAAATATGTATTGTAGAAGGTATATTTCTATAGGATAGCGCTGCCCCTACGACTCGGCGGGTTTCAGGTCAGCGTTAAGTCTGCAATTATTCCCATCCTAGGAGGGTCAGGCCCAGCTATGGAATCTCCAGGAAGCCCCTCCAAGCTCTCTGACCTGTATGTGGCAATGAAGGATGTGGGCCTGGTGGAGTCTGCAGCAGGTGGCAGGGTCCAGAAGCAATCCACGGCAATCGGGTACCTAAAGGCCCAGCACCACACCCTGGGCT